TTAAAGATCTGAGTGATCTGTTAGGTTTGTATTCAGTCAGCATATCTGTAATGTATTAAGGTCCTCATTTAGTGATTTATAGACAAGTAATAATACTTTAAAATCTACTCTGAATGTAACTGGGAGCCAGTGTAGAGACCTGAGGACAGGTGTGATGTGCTCTGATTCCCTGGTTCTGGTCAGAATCCTGGCTGCAGCATTCTGGATGAGCTGCAACTGTCTGACTGTCTTTTTGGGAAGGCCAGTGAGGAGTCCATTACAGTAATCCACCCTGCAGCTGATAAAAGCATAAACAAGTTTCTCTAAGTCTTCACTGGAAACAAAGCATCTGATTCTTGCTATGTTTTTGAGATAATTATGTTAAGCAATATTTATTTTTCGATTGTCAACAGAACAAACCATCGTTATACAATGACTTGCCTAATTAACCTAATTAAGCCATTAAATGTCACTTTAAGCTGAATACTATAGAATCTTCATAAAATATATCAAATCAAATATTATTTACTGACATCATGGCAAAGATGAAATAAATCAGTTTTTAGAAATTAGTTATTTAAAACTATTACAATTAGAAATGTGTTAAAAAATCTTCTTTGAGTTAAACAGAAATCGGGGAAAAAATATACAGGGGGTTATTAATTCAACATAAATGTATATATGTATGTAAACTACATTCATTAATTTTCCTTCGGCTTAAGGCTGATTTACACTTCTGCGTTGAGTGATCGTTGTGACCTATGGCGCCTGCCTTGCATGTAGTTGTAACATACCTTCACCAAGACTGGACGCGACTCCGCTGGGTCCTTAAAGGTGAGAATGGTGGCTGAATAGGTCAAATATGTGTACCAATCCCCTTGAAAAAAATTTAGAGATGAACACGAAAGGTAGATAAACTGTTTTATCTGATATATATCTGATTTAAAAAATCCCTTGACACGAGAGAAGTAAACATGATAAAAATAACTAATATTATTGCACTGGAGCTAAAATAAACTTTCTGCTGCAAAACAACGTTACGCAAGCATATCAACACACTGCTGTTCTGTGTCAGTTGAATTAGTTGATTGTTGAAACTCAAATTTTTAACCCAACTGGTTGAGTTGTTGAATAAATAAACAAAAAAGGTTAAAAATATCCCAACAGCACCAAACTTTTAACCCAACTAATTGAGTTATTCATAAATAACCAAATAAAGGTTAAAAATAATCCAACACAGCACCAAATATTTTTAACTCAACCATTGGGTTTAAAAAACTCAATGTTTTTTAGAGTGTATTATAGTAAATAAAACTTTATCACAGTCCAAATTTGTATTTATTTATTTATTTATTTGTTTATTTATTTCATTATGCTGCAGTGTCTCAGCTTAACTTCATTTACTCTTGAAAATAAATTCCACTTTGCCTTTTTTGGAGTTTTTAAGATCTGTCACTGAATCGTTTCACCAAAGACATGTTGTCCAACAATCATGAAATATGTATCTGATCCCACTCTATAACACTGAAAGGCTTTTTATGTATACCACTCCAGTCCACTCTAAAACACAGTGGAGTTTATATGGATTCATTAGATACTTCATGTGTGCACTTTTCCACAGCACCAGCAAAGTCTGCAGAGCAAGTTGATCATTTTCATATAGTGATATTCCCAATACACTCTAAAAAAATGTTGGGTTGTTTGGGTCAAATAAAGACTAATTGTTAGGTTAAAACTGACATTGATGCTGGTTCAAGTCCAGGCTGGGCCAGTTGGCATTTCTGTGTGGAGTTTGCATGTTCTCCCTGATTTGGCGTAGGTTTCCTCCAGGTGCTCCGGTTTCCCCCACAGTCTAAATTGAATAAGCTAAATTGCCCGTAGTGTATGTGTGTTTCCCAGTGCTGGGTTGCAGCTGGAAGGGCATCCAATGTGTAAAACATATGCTGGATAAGTTGGTGGTTCATTCCGCTGTGGGTACCCCTGATAAATAAAGGGACTAAACTGAAAGAAAATTAATAAATGAAAAATGGTATTGAAAATAATAACAATAACAATAATTATAACAACAACAATTATTATTATTATTATTATTAACAATAATAACAACAGCAGTAATAATAATAATAGTAATAGTAATAATAATAACAATAAAAATAATATTCACAACAACAATAACAATAATAAATAATATTAACAATAATAACAACAGCAGTAATAATAATAATAATATTAAAAATAATAATAATAATAACAACAGCAGTAATAATAATAATAATAATAAAATTAACAATAATAACAACAGCAGTAATAATAATAATAATATTAAAAATAACAATAATAATAATAATAACAACAGCAGTAATAATAATAAAATTAACAATAATAACAGCAGTAACAATAATAATAATAATAACAGCAATAATAATAATAGTAATAACAGCAGTAATAATAATAATATTATTATTAATAATAATAATAATAGTAATAACAGCAATAATAATAATAATAATAATAATGATAATAATAATATTTATCTGATGGACATAAGTTTATATTTTACACTGGCATTTAAACAAAATTTTAACGCTAGACATTTACCATGTAAATTGCAAAAAAAAAAAAAAGTAAGTTCATCAATATTTAAAGATGTTTGTTCTGCCAGCAATCGTGAGGCAAATCAGATGTTATTTTCTAATATAAGTTCAATACAGTGCACAGCAGTACATGAACGTCTCCTTAGAGCATGTTCACAAAATAGGGCTTAGGGGTGTTGGTAGTTGAGAAGTATAGAAGAATATTGTTACGTACGAGCTGTTGGACAGATAGTCCCGTACAAGGAAGGGTGTGATTACAGCAATATTCTCATAGAGACAGGGCTGTGATAGTGAGATAGACGCCCAGAGCATCTTCTCGCACATTCAGCATGTTCTGCACTTGACATTGCATTAAATGTTTCTAAAGATGACAGCTTGCCTGAGAGCTGGGGCTGACAGGCTTTTTAGTATAAGTGAAAACATCACAGGGACTTGAGAAATAGAGGAGTTTTAATCAAATTACAGTCTCACAGTTAGGAACTTAAATATTATACATTGAAATGAGACTATAAAAAGAAGCAACAATGCAGTATTATTATTTTGTGTGTATGTATATATATATATATATATATATATATATATATATATATATATATATATATATATATATATATATATATATATATTTGTTATTAAAGGGGTCGTTCACAAAAAAATGGAAATTATAGTCATATTTTACTTATTACAAACCATAAAATATTTTCTTTGTTCTGCTGAACATAAGATATTTTGAAGAAAGTTGAAAACCTGTAACCATTGACTTGCATATAGTATTAAAAACAAATACTATGCAAGTCAATGAATACAGATCAGCTTTCTTTAAAATAAATCTTTGTTTGTGTTTAATAGAAGATCATGTTTTGGTGAAAAGTAATTTTCATTTTGGGTGGACTATCCAATTAATATCTTCTAAATGTATAAGCTTATTTTTTTATATTAACAATAGCTATTCTATATAGAAAAAAACATTGATATCCAGGATAAACATACATGCAAACTATGGGTGCAGTGTTTTGTGTCACTTACAAGGCAGTACTCAATTCGCGAGTGAATCGCGACTGAATCGTTCATTTGAACCGATTCTTTTAATTTAAAGGAAGATTATACAGGAAAGAACTTTAAGGTAGGAATGAATTAAAAGTAATAAAGGTACAACATTATGGACGTTTTTGTCATCTCTAATTCGAGCATGCTTGAAAATAATTTGGATTTAATGATTAATATTTCCAGTTTAATAACCATCTGTAATAATGCACACAAGTATGCATATATTTCAGCAAAGATTAAAAGAATCGCATATGCATTCATTTACTATTTAAATGACAAATGTTAAATGATTTGGAGTAATGTAATGTTTTAGAAGCTCAAAATCGAAGCATAAAACATTTGTGCAGTTTGTTGCAAAATGGACTGCACTGAAGAAAAGAGTAAACCAATTAAAGCAAAATAAAATTGACTGAACTGGACAAAGAGTTCCTATATCAAAGACAAATAATGTCAAATAAGAAATTTAAAAAGCCCCTCAGGCTTTCCTTGCCTATTTTTATTTATTTATTTATTTATTTATTTATTTATTTATTTATTTATTTATTTATTTATTCATTCATTCATTCATTCATTCATTCATTCATTTAGTTATTTTTTTGAAGGTGGAAATCTGACATATGTTTCTTTGTTGCTTTAATAATCTGTGCATTTAGTTTAATGCAATGGCACATTGTGACTCTAAAACACATCTCTGTTAAAATGAGCCAATTACTGCAGGCTTTGGCAAAGTCCAAGGTACTGCTGTATGGACGTTGTCAGTTTTTCTAATTCGAGCATGCTCGAAAATAGTTTGGATTAAATGGTTATATTTACAGTATAATAACCATAACATATGAGTATGTTAGCCTACTTTCCATTGATTTATAACTGCTGCATACAATTGAACTCTAATTTTTGTCTTTTTTTCGTGTGTTTCTCTGTTTGTTCATTTATTTAAAAGTGCAATGTGTGCCAGAGCAAAAAAAACTAAAATTTGACCAAAATTAATCGTTTGAGAATATCATACTGTTTAATTCACTCGTTCTGATCTTGCTTTTACAATTTTCACAATTTTAAGCATATCCAGATAACAACACGCTAGATTCGATTTTAGTTATACTTTTTAATAGCCGCCCCCTAAGTCTCCTGTGAGGCGATTCATTCTAACTGATTCTTCGAACGAACCGATCGCTTCAAAAGAATCGCCTCGCTCTGTCTCTCTGCCCGCCTCCAAACACGCAGTCGGCGGTCATGTGCGCAAAGATCCGCCAATCTCCAGATGCGCGATCAGAGCGCCGCTCCTTTCCATCTCCTCCTCACTCCTATGAGACCGCTCTCGTCTTTGACGTCATCGTGTGCTCCCTCCCGTTGCCAGGCAACCCGTCTCCCGCACCCCCCACTCTCTCCTCCTCCTCCTCCCGTTTTGCCATCACTACGCTGGTAGGATCCATAATGGTACAGGCATCATCCTGCAGCACAATGGTGAGCGCGCAGTGATTCAGCATCGCAAACTCAGGCTTTAATCCAGCGTTAGACTTTCTTTTCATCTGTTTGATACAGTGGTTTTTAAAAGATTCGCCTGCCGGGATGTTTTGAACAGGACTGGACTGTCACCGGACCGGGATCATCGGACGGGCAGCTGGCACGGAATGGTAGGTCGGTCGGTCGGTGGGGAGATGTTGATGCGGGAACCTGAAGGGTGGGGTGATGAATATTGATCGAAATGAAGGTTAATGAAGTCGATGCTTTCGCGGCTTAGCCAAATAAATGATCCGTCACGAAGGTCGAACGATGTCCGAAATGGCAGGATTTCTCCGGTGTTTACCAGATCTGAGCGAGTGCGAGCGCACGTCCATCCGTGTTTTTCCTGCATCACTCGCGGTCCTGCATCATCATATGTCCTGTTTTCAGGGACCGCAGGCCTTTGTTAGAATATGGATTGATGGAATCTGGAGTCACAACAATGACGTGATTACGCAAAAGTCGATTCATTTACATGCGTTTCGGATGTTTGATTCCAATATTATATCATGTTGCATTTCAAAAAATGCAGAATTGCTAGTAAAATACTTTATATGGTATATTTTCACAATATGTCTCGCATTTGATGTTTTTAAGATGACTGAAGTGTATAGGTGCTGGAGTCTGAGATGGGCCATATGGTAATTTGTTTATTTATTTATTTAGTTCACGTTGGAAGCCTGAATAACAGGAAGCAGGGTTAAAACACACCTCATTTTGACACAGTTTGATCAAATTTGAAGTTTATTCCCAATTATGGTTGGATAACCACTATTTAGGAACAACAATTAAATATTAAATGCATGAAATGAAACATTAAAACATGTTTAGATGTTTTTAGATGTGTGATGCATGATGGAGCATTTTTTATAATAAATATTTTTGGTTTCCATTTTGAGATATCAAGAAATATTGAGTGAACATCACAGGATGTAATGATTTTTATGCACTCTAGTGCATAATGTTTCATAAGACTGCATGGAATAATAACTTCAAAATTTATTAAAATTCCAAAAGGGCATTTATATAAATGTTTTGATGCAGAAGTGGCTATGTTTGTTTATACATTACATTACATTAATATATTGACTTGAAGTTATTTATATTATGTATTGTGAGCTGAAATAAAATACATTTGCCTTTTTGAAAATTTCGTAAGATACAATATGACATTTTATTCTCAATGAAGCAATATTGGAATTAATAGGATATTAATAATCATATTTATTTTCAATCAATAGTTCTAGCATTTGATGCTTTATGCTGCAATTGATGCATATTTGAGTTCATGCTGGGGTCTAAGATGTTGAATATTTATTTTATCTTATTTTATATTTTTAGGAAGGCTACCATAGAGGTGTAAATCTATTAAAGTGTCATAAAGCAGTAAACATTTTACATATGAAGAGTTTAGATGCAAAAACCTCTAAGTGCCGTCTGAAATTTCCATTGAAAATAAACATTTTTCTCAGCTTCCTTTGTTAATGTTGAGTTAGTTCTCTTCAAAGACCATAAAAGAGAATTATTCTTTGCCATAAAAGTGATACTACTAAACATACACACAGGAGCCTGATAAAAATCATTTTAGAGGAAAATTTCAGACGGCATTTAGAGGTTTTTGCTACTAAACTCTTCATTTTATCAACTGAGTGCTTCACACTATGGAACAATCTTTCCATTTGGTATTTTGGACTATTTCGGTTTCCACTTTATGCGTTATATGTTATGCTTTTTATTAAACTATGTGGAATAATTCAAAAGTGCATGTACTGTACATGTATTTTTACTTTTTTACTCTGTGCCAAATATATATTATATATATATTTTTATATATTTGGTACAGAGTAAAAGTGGCTATGCATTAATTTACTGATTAAATGACAAAAGCAAAATGATTTGGAGCAATGTACTGTTTAATAAGTTTAAAAAAGAAGCATAAAACATTTGTGCAGTTTGTTGCAAAACCGATTGCATTTGTGAGAACAGTAAACTAATTAAAGCAAAAGGAATACACAAAGAGTTCCATTATCAAAGATTCATGTCAGATCTATAAAAAAAGCCACTCAGGCTTTCCTTGCCTATTTTTTAAAGCTGGAAATTTGACATATGCTGAAATATTTCTTGGTGCTTTAATAATCTGTGCTTTTGTTTTAATGCAATGGCACATTGTGGTATCCTCTGTTAAAATGAGCCAATTACTGCAGGCTTTGGCAAAGCGCTATGCATATTCTAAGGGACGGCCATGGACTAATCATCCGTAGCCCCCCCAAAAAACAACCCCATATGGCTAATTAGGCTGTTCCATTGTGTCTGTATATTGTTAAATCCCACAACACTGGGTACCCTGGTTATATTCGCCTCACGCTTCAGTGTCAGAGGTTGCGGCGATCATCTGAACTCTCGTATTCTCCAGGTACGCTGACATTTTGATTAGGATTAAGAGAGTGATTTTGTGAGGGAACTGCTGAAGGACAAAGCCTTGAGAAGCCGGTATTTTGTCTCCATGTGGCTTGAACGGTTCAGCAAACAATTCTTCTCTGTCAATGTTTTTTCAAGGACTTGACTCTTTTACCTCAATAGTTTATTGTAATGAATAGTATCTTGACCAATGTAGTCCACTACATTACTGTTATCTATATTTATTAGCTGGCTTGTTTGCTTAGTAAGTTATTCATATTGGATCAGTATCCTTCTCTCTATTTGCCCAGCCCCATTTAAAATATGTGTCTTAGGCCAGTGTTTCCCAACCCTGTTCCTGAAGGCACACCAGCATTAAACATTTTCAACCTCTTCCTAATCAAGCACACCCAAATCAACTCACCAGAACATTAAAAGAGACTCTGAAACCGGAAATCCAGGTCTCCAGGAACATGGTTGGGAAACATTTTCGCAAAATGTAAAATACGTTGCTCTGGTTACGTTTCATTGTACGTTTCAAACTACAAATTCACTAGAGGGCACTGTTTACATTTTCATAAATCTGAAAAAACATTACTTAGGGCAGGGGTGTCCAAGCTCTGTCCTGGAGGGCTGGTGTCCTTCAGATTTTAGCTTCAACTTGCCTCAACACACCTGCAAGGGTGTTTCTAGAAAGCCTAGTAAAAGGTTGATTAGCTAGCCCAGGTGTGTCTGATTTGGGTTAGAATTAAACTTTGCACGACACCGGCCCTCCAGGACCGAGTTTGAACATGTCTGACTTAGGGTGTGTTTTGTTGTATATCTGTATGTTCCTGTGCATGCCCACTAGAAGGCGGGGCTTGTCTTACAATTCACCAAGTGAAGAGATCATGCACAGATCTAATGACAAGCATTCAATCCCTTTCATAACTGTTTGTGCTCATTTAAGACACAGTTAGTTGTATTTAAGAAAAAACACGCCAACACAGACATGTTTACACTTTATTGTGTGTATTTTTCAGTTAAAAGTCTGCGTGAGCCGAATGTTGCTGACACTTTTATTTCGGTGTGTTGATGTACTTCAAACTGAAACTGAATATTTAGTAGGGGGTGGGGTTTTCATTTTGCGCATCATTCCTATATATCCAGCTAAGGATAATAGGGGCATGGTTAAAAATTTTGTGGCTAAAGCCATCCAACTGACATCAAAAGAGATGGACGCCATTTTGATTAAAGATTACCAACTATTTTTTTTTTCAGTGGATTAACTTGAATGGATTAATTGTTCACCTAAAGAACAACAATGTTCGCCAGCAAAATAAACACAGAAACACAAATTCAAACCCCAAAATGTCCACTTTAGTTCCACTTCAAATCGTGCGTAACAGAAGATACTCAGGGAAAACTGTTTGTTTATCAAATTTCATGAATTGACTGATGTGGGGGTTGCATAGGAAGGGGACGGTGCATGCATTTAATAGAAAAGGGAAGGGAATGCAGCCATCTTTATTATTATGTTATAGTTTCAAGACAAAAAAAAAAATAAAAATCTCTTGTCATTATATCACATTTCAGACCAATGGGGCCGCCTGTTGGTTTGGTGTAGCTATGCATATAAAGATGATTGACTGTGCATAGATTGACAACTTTCATAGACATTAAAATTACAGGAAAATATTTAAACGGGTTGATAGTGGTATAAGATTCAGGAGAATCCAGAAAAGAAACAGGATGGTTGACAGATGTGCAAATCATAGACACTGTTTCACAGTTTTATGATATTTATTTGGGCAAAATAATGACATAAATCTTATTAATAAGCAAAAGCTACATAAAAATAATCTTTTTTTTCATTTGGCCCATTTCCACTGAGTGGTACGGTACGGTTCGGGATGTTTTTATGGCCGTTTCCACTGCTAAAAAGCGAAACATACCATACTTTTTGGGTATGCTTCTGAAAGGGTACCTATCACAACAAAAGGGTACCAAAAGGCGGAGCAAAACATGTAGCAGAATGCTATTGGTTTACAGAGATACGTCATTAGCTCATGCACAAGCCAAGAGAATGAAAACAAAGGAACCGCTATTTTTAATACACAGCCAAGACATTACACTGTAATAATATATACATATAATTACAAGCCATGGTCGACCCGAGCTTAAACAAACCTTGTCATCGTCTTGATGAACAGCTACAAAGCCAAGAAGAACAGCAGAGTCTGTGCCCCGTAGTTGTTCACAAGGCCGTCTAAAGGGCCAGAGGTTCCACTTTCTCAAGCGAACTCGCGTACATGTCTATATTTGAAATAACAAACTTCTTAAGATGATAATAATACTGTGCACATGATTATTCAAGTGCTTCTGACACTCGATCCTTTCAGAAATGAACAAACACCACAGCAAAGCGCGAAAAAACAAAGGAGAAGCCTGAAAAAACAAAAGAGCAAATGATTCTTTCAGCAACCTAAAACATAAACAAACTGACATGTTTAACTTATTTATCATTGCCTTTTGGGCTATTATGAACTCGGATGACAAATTACTTTCTAACAAGAGGTTACATGTGCTGGTGAAGATGAAAGATACAGATGAGAGGTTTGCAATATATGTTGCGTGTTGTTTTTGAACCCTAATAAGAACTAAATGTATACTGTGTGTAGTTTTTCTGTAACTGTTAACAAATTTGAGACTGTAAGGGTCTGTATGTGTTCATATATGTTGCAATTATTTATTT